CTCACTTACTTCTTTCGTGATTACACCTAATCAATTAATCCCTTAATGAAGTCCCTAAAATATTACTACCAACTCGGCCAACCACTCACGACACAGCCTTACGTTTTACTCGTCTCTACTCAACTTATGACCCCGCGATACGCCTATAGAGGATAACTATTCGTTTATATTTACCATTCACAATTCATTACACCACTCGATATGTCCAATAACTTACGACATCGCAATCCCCACATATAAGAACATAATGTACAATCCACTAATCATTTGAGGAAACATGCCCAACTCCACATTATCAGTACTACAAGCAATTACACATATATGGCATGTCTATGGTCCTCTCATGGAACTCACATCCAAACTGTTAGTGTACTGGTACATGGCACCCGTTCCAAGTTAGTGTGTCGGATCATGACACCCGTTCCAATGTTTATGCCAGTACGTGGCAACCGATCACAGTAAGTTTGTCGAAGCGCAACACCCGATCCATTCAACAAGCCACAATCACAATCGCAAGTATATTATCATAATCTTACAATTAAGTCATGAATCATGGCATTCAATTATTCGTCTATCCATATTTACGAATATTGTTATCAATAATGTAACATTCGCATACATACATGTATCATAATAAAGCAAGAACAAACATATATCACACAACATGAAATCACGACCATCAGCTCGCCCTAGTTCATAGTCTAAGGCTTCCTCCTACGATTTAGTCATATTTTCTTCGGTACACGAAGGCCTACGCATAAATCCTATCATTGATTAACATTACTACGCAGTGAGCACAAGTTTATAACTACTCAAATAATAAACCTAACCTACCTGGGAGCCAATCAGCTGCATAGAGTTAAAATTCCAATTCTCGTTTCCGGACGACATGACGGTGAATTTGGTCAAGAATCTGCATGTTTTCGACCTCGTTATGCTAGAAATATTTTTCTCCTCCCTTCCTAAGCTTAGAGCAGCTTTTGGAGGGTTTCTGGGGTGATTTACGTGTAAATTAGGTGTTTTGGGGAAAAGGAGAAAATTAGACTTCGCGTTATTTACATTCTGTCTCGCCTATCTCGCTCTGCCGGCTACTTACCCCAATGTGGCACTTCCCCCCTAGCGGCATCTGGCCCGAACTTGCGGGACAGTGGCCCCAACATTTACCCAAAGTTTTGCTTTTCCAAAATAATGACAGTTCAAGTCGTTACAATAGATACCAATTTACCCCTCGTTCGTCCACGAATGACCAGTGAACGAATCATTACGCATCCTATCTCAGAGTACTTCTAAGCTAACTAATTGGTCCCTTACAGGACCACGAAGGATGGTGATTTTTCCAAAATTTGAACCACCAAGGGTGCTACACTCAAAGGTCCGGTTAGGAATTTAAGGCAATACATGAATAACCAAACGCGTCGAACTTACACAGCCTGACCCCACCAGGGCGGCAGCCCTTCCGCTGAGGCGGGGCTGCTGTGGCGAGGGATTTCCCGCTGTAGCGGGAGCTCGAAAATTGTAGGGGGGGGGGGAAGGGGAATGGTTTCCCTATTTCCTCCTCTTCTCTCCAAAACATTCCCAAAACTCTATCAGCCACTTCGTTCTGAATGTCAAAATCAAGGTATTAATCTCGTTCCTCATGTTATTTCGTTCATTACTTACTCAACTACCCTTGTATGATGTTGAACGATTGATTAGAATTAGTTCTAGGGGTAGTTTTTTCGAAAATGAACATAGGTTGCTTGTTTGATAGAAAAATGTAGCATGGACACTTCCCTTACGTCCCCAACGTCTCCATGACGTCCTGGGCGAAAGGATTTTGTCAAAATATGGTCGAATCGATACCAAAATTGGTGGGGGAAGTGGAAAAGTCTCTTGATGAAAAATCACTATTTAGGGGTTATTTCCTCGAAATAATAGCATATTTAAGTTCTAGGGTACTTAATAGGTTCTGATATGCTGAACTTCTGTAGAAAATGGGGGTTTTGGGACAAAGTGGTGCCATGATCGCGCCTGGTGTTCATCCCAGATGAAGGTCCCTGGCGACCTTCATCCTGTTGTGGAGGCCTCCATCATTCCAGTCTAGCGGGATTCTGGGCACTGTGACAGGACCTGGGAAAACAGTGGCCTAGGTCCCTTTTTTAGATAGAAATTTAATTTTTCCTTGAACCATGTATTGTCTAATCCCATGATGTTTTAACGTATACCTTTCGACTTTTGGAGGCTTATTTAAATAGCTGGTATCAACAAGGAAAATTTGCCCTTCGTCCAGTTTCCTGATGCTGCTAGTCAGGAACGGTACCATGATCACCGGAACACTAAGTTTTGCTGCTAGTGGAGTTTCCATTTATTGAATTTGGAGGTGAAGGCGCCTGCCATTCATGCTCGGCTTATGGAGTTTGGCTGGGGCCCACTGACAGAGGCTCCAACTGCTACTCGTTCAATCTGGGTAAGAGAGTTCTACGTTGTCCTACCTACTGTTTGCTGGGACGATCCTCACCCTACTATTTGCATCCGAGGAGTGGACATCCCCTTGAACGCTCCATCCATAAATGATGTACTCGCGATGCCCGAGGTCCCTAACACAGAGTACGAGGCTAAGCTGCGGGAGATGGACTTAGGATGGTTGTAGGATACGCTGGGAGCCTGCTGGTGGAGCCAACACGTAGAGACAAGGTTTACTGGGCTACTACGGAGGGTATCACTAGCACCGATTGGTCACCGGATGCTAAGAAGTGGCTACACTTGGTTACTAGGAGGATCCGCTCATCAGGAAATTGCATTGACATGACATTTCCTCGAAATTTGGTGGTGGCGTGCGCGATTCAAGGCATAGGGCTGAACGTGGGCACATAGATCATTTCAGAATGGAAGGTGTTCTATCGAAGTAATAAAAATGTGTTCTTCCTTCCTGGACTAGTGACTCCGCTGTGCAAGAGGGCGGGAATGCCACTCCTACACAATGATGAGGTACTCCCCACGAACCCTCATTTTCACCCTCTTTTGATTAGGCAGGGTTCTACCTACAAGAGCAAGAAGAGGAGGACAGATAGAGACAGCAGCAGCCAGGCAGCTGCGGAGGATGAGGGAGGAGATGATGGTGCAGGTGACGACACTCTTCCTACCAACAGTCCCAACCCTCGCTTTCCAGTGCTCGAGTGGAGGAGGACCTGGCAGCCATCCGGCAAATATTTTGGGGCTCGTGGGATAGTACCTCGACTTTAGTTCCACCCGTTATTGCTCTTGAATTGGAGATACTCCGCCGCCAGCTGCGATGGGAGAAAAAGAAGAACTTGGAGAGAGATCATCTACTGGGCCGGATGTGGAAGACTCTTAAGGTCATTTTCTCCTGCGTCGCCCCTCAGCAAAAGCTTCCCACGCTTGAGCCGGATGACTTCCAGGAGTTTTCTTGGTTGAGTGACTATTGGGCTGGCGAGACAACACCTGAGGACATGGGGTTCGACAGCGACACCTCGCATTCCCAAGGTTATTGATTGGGTTTCTGCCCCTCTTGGGCATGTATTGAACAATACTTTATTTTAACTTTCTGTTTTCCTAGATTTTTGTACGTACAACGATGTTGGTTTCTAGCTATTTTTCCCTCATTAATATTAAATGCTAAGGCTTATAGCTTATTGTTCTATTGTTAAATACTGATTGAATTGCCTGGATTAGTTCGGATATCATTCGAGGTCTGTATTTGTGACTAGGAAAAATAGAGGAGACAAGGCTGAGATTCTATCTCACCCTATCCCGCTCTGGCAGGAGGAATCCCGCACTGGCGGCCTCTCCTTGGCGGGAAAAATCCCACCCCAGCGGCCTTAAAGAAAACAGAACCCCTGCCAACAATTTCCTGAGGTTCTTTTCATTTTTTAATTTCCCCATAGATTTTCACCTATAACCTTGGAAGTTTTAGAGTAATCCCCTTAGTACGGAGGGGTAATGTCTACTCTGGTTTACGCAACGATACCCCCCCCCCCCCCAAACTCACTCTCATTAACTCGACTTTGTCACCCATACGTTCACACGATACGCCCAGACACTCACACTATTATAGCTTGCGTAATTTCAACAATAGGCCAGCATATTGCACATATCAAGGTTCAGACATGCTATTATTGTGCACATAATCATATTATCACGTCCAAGGAAATACAACTTCCACATTCACAATTAATTCTGACAACAGAAACATGCACTCACAGTTTCAAAGTTACAACTCACAGAGAAGTCCAATTATTAGCTAGTTCGTATCCATAGATGACCAATACTGATCATTCATTCCCTTGTACAACCTCTAAGGCCATATACCAATTGGAACCTTCTTAGTTCCAATTTTCTTTGCTTGTGTCCCGTCAGTCGTGACCACGACGTCTAGTTCACTTTGTTGAGATACCAATTGGAATCGGAAGATACCAATTGGACTCAACTCATACCACAGGCGAAACTCGTACGAAAGAAGAGAAAAAGTGGAACAACTTCCTAGAATGTTTCCTAACTTCTTGAAGATTAGATGTGGATGTCAACACATCAATCTGCAGGAATCTAGTCCATATTTTTCTCTTGTACTGGGAGACCGGTAACCTGGGCACTGATACCAATTTGTCACGACTCAACCCACCGGGCCATGCGGGCACTTAGTCTAACACCTAAATAGGAGAACCCTCGATTCCCAATAGTTAAAATCATGCGGAAAATTAAGAAAACTACTGAAATAAGGAAATTCATATAGTATTGTTATAAAAACAAGAATTCAAAACGACTCAAGGTTAAGACATGTAAAGTAATTAACACCCCAGGGATCTAGTTTAAACATGTATAAGAGCTACTAAGAGTACAAAAGTAAGACATAATAATGAAAAGACACAGCTTCCATCATGCGGAAGGAAAAAAATAGAAGCTGTTGGAGATTCGCCTTCGTCTTCACCTATGAAACATCACTGATCCTACAACCAGACTATGCCAAAAAGGCATAACAAGAGTAGTATCAGTAGAACCCCACGTACTGGTAGGCATCATCGGTCAACCCGAATACCCACCGCATAATATAATAAATCAACTGGCGAAATATGCAATAAGACTAATCCCTCCTCCACCTTTATATTTTGACTGCCATTACCCTTCCGAATATTAATATCATACTAATTCAGTTGCCTCTAACCCCTCACTTCTTCGTTTGTGTTTATACCTAATCAATTAATTCCTTAAGAAAGTCTCGAAAATACTACTACCAACCCGACCAACCACTCATGACACACCCTTACGTTTTACTCGTCTCTACTCAACTTATGACCCCGCGTTACGCCTATAGAGGCTTACTATCTGTTTATATTTAACATTCACAATTCATTACACCACCCGATATCTCCAATAACTTACAACATCACAATCCCCACATATAAGAACATAATGTACAATCCACCAATCCTTTCAGGAAACATGCCCAATTCCACATTATCAGTAATACGAGCAATTACACATATATGGCAAGTCAATGGTCATCTCATGGAACCCACACCCAAACTGTTAGTATACTGGTATGTGGTACCCATTCTATGTTAGTGTGTTTGATCGTGACACTCGTTCCAATATTTATGCAGGTACGTGGCAACCGGTCCCAGTTAGTGTGTCGGAACATAACACCCGATCCATTCAAAAAGCCACAATCACAATCACAATCACAAGTATATTCTCATAATCATACAATCAAGTCATTATTCATTACATTCAATTATTTGTCTATCCTCATCTACGATTAGTGTAACAATAATGTAACATTCGCATACATACATGTATTATAATGAAGCAAGAACAAACATATATCACACAACATGACATCACGAACATCACCTCACCCTAGCTCATCGTCTAAGGTTTCCTCCTACGATTTAGTCATCTTTTCTTGGGTGCACGAAGGCTTACGCATAAATCCTACCATTGATTAACATTATACTATGTAGTGAGCACAAGTTTATAACTACTAAATTAATAAACCTAGCCTACCTGGGAGCCAAGCAGTTGCACGGAGTTATAATTCCAATTTTGGATTTTGGACGACAGGACGGTGAATTTGCTCAAGAACCCACATATTTTCGACCTCCTTATGCCAGAATTCTCTTTCTCCTCCCTTCCTAAGCTTAGAGCAGCTTTTGGTGGGTTTTTGGGGTGATTTACGCCTAAATTAGGTGTTTTGGGAAAAAAGAGAAAATCAGACTTCGCGTTATTTACATTTTGTCTCGCCTATCCTGCTCAGGCGGCTACTTACCTCATTGTGGCGCTGCTGCCCTAGCGGCATCTGGCCCGCATTGGCAGAACAGTGCCCCAGCATTTCCCCGATATTTTGCTATTCCTAAATAACGACGGTTCGGGTGGTTACACCGACTCTAGACCAACATGTTCATTTTATCTGCTACATGAAAATAATTTGTTTAGAAGGCATATATATTGTTGACCAGCTTTATAATAACTATGTCTTTCAATTTTATTTTTAAAAAAAAAATGGGGAAAAAGGTTGAAAAAGGGTCTTTGAAGTGTGAGTCATTTATTTTATGAACTACCCACACCTGATTGTCACTAAAATGAGATACTTAGCCATCCCTTCTCTGATTCGGTGTTTGTAAAAAAGTAGAGAGTATTTTGTGTTCTTTTTTTTCACAAAAAAAATTATCTTGGTGTTTCCTTTTTCTTCCTCCTTTGATTATAGTTTGTGTTCTCCAAGATATAACCTTAATTAGCTTTTATCCAAAGGTACGAATGGAACCTCCAACTAAAGGATAGGGTTATAAAAGGCCTAAAAGTGAAGAAATTTCATAATGCATGATTGTTGACACGATACCTAATGATCTATGTCGATGGTGGACAAGTTTGGGAAATTATGAGCAAAGAAGGGTAAAAGAACATTTGTGACATCTTATGCATTTGATGGAGATTGACCCAAGAAGAGATGTGATCGAGACAATTATTCCTTTCTGGGATCCAAAAAATACGTGTTTCGACTCTCCGACTTTAAAATGACACCAACTCTGGAGGAAATTGCTAGCTTCATGGGAAAAGGATCCAATTTTCGGGGCACTGATCTCCACAATAAAAGACCCATAATCCCAAAGAACATTGATGGCAACAAGTTCCTGAACCTACTCAAGATCAACTAAATAGAGAAGGAGAGTTTGAATAATGGGTGGATCTCTTTGGACTTTCTATATGAGAGGTATGGTCAAAGGGATGTATTTAAAAACTACTAGAACCAACTTAGCAATCAAGGGAGCATAGAGGCTTGGAAAGTAAATGGGTGCTTTGCCTTCATGGTTGCATTTTTGGGGCTCATTTTTTTCTCTAAGCGGGATAAGTATATCGACATTCGCTTGACTGGAATGGTAAAGGCGCCAACAACAATGGAAAATCCTACTATTATTCCCATAATTCTAGCAGAAATGTTATGTGCATTGACTAAATGCAAAAATGGGGAAACGTACTTTGAAGGCTGCAATATCTTGCTACAAATATGGTTTTGGATCATCTTTATCATCATAATTGTGCGCGTAGGTTCACTCCTAACTGGTGTAATTATGTATCCTCTCATATTTTTCAAAACAAATTTTAGCATGTGAAGAAAAACTGTCGGAAATCATGTGTGATGAAATTGTATGGAATTATTTACGAGTTCCCAGCTAAGGATGTCATTTGCATGTCTACTAGTATCTCGTCTCTTGTGTTGATTGGGCTTAGAGGTGTCCAACCCTATGCCCCGCTTCGGGTTATTCGTCAACTTGCTAGAGTTCAAAGGCCCACCAAATGATGATATGAGTAGATTTGTATTTGACACCCCACCAGATTTTGCCTTTGATAGCAAGGATACTTTGAATATCTGGTTCGGTAGTATAATTTCTGAGCAAAGAAAAATGGTCGAGCTTGCAAGACCTTTATGTATACCGAAATTCCCAACTCTTACAACTAAGTATTTCCTTTCACTTAATTTAAAATAAGTAAAGTACCATACATGTATGTCGTCAGAAGTAATAGCAGTTCTAACTTCTCTTCCCCTATCAAGTTTGTATTCATGCATTATCCATTCAGTCTGCTTCCTATCCTTCTCAAGCTTCCCCTCAATGTAGTTTACAGTTTTCCGATAACCAATCAGCTTACCATCCTTGTGGATGAGAGAATCTGTTCAACAAGGTTCCCAATATCCATAATTCTTCGAGTTGTTACATCGACCTCCCTCTGTATACTTCTTGCATGATGGGCTCATAATGTACCATTCTATTGCTAGAGAAGGATGGTGCATCTCTGTCAAAATGAAACTAGCTTTTTCACCAAGTTTAAGTTCTCTAAACCAAAAGCAAGGCAGCAACAATAAATAAGATTAGGAAATTCTCTTGATGCTACTATAAGAGACAGTAGCACTGAGCTTATAAATCTACCACATCCCTATGTGGGCAAACAATACCAGAAAATTACACAAAATGCCTAAGAGAAGTAGACATTAATACTTGTCAAAACATGAAAAATCATTTCCAGGTCTTACCATAGGGAGGTAAGATTAACTTTGGGATCTACAAGACTACAACTAGAGAGAATAGAATAAATAAATATTCAGAACCTAAAATTATGTAGGAACTAAGAGAATCATACAATAACGAGATCTCCATGATGCATTTTCTTCATAGCAACAAACGGATCCTTTTTACATGATACATCATGTATTGCAAGAACCAAGATTCTCTGGATTCAGAGAAAAGGGTGGCCATTCTTTAAAAGATCAATAAGCTCATGGAACGTAATATATTATAACAGTTAGCTTGCTAAGTACACAGTTAGTTAGTAGTAGCATGTTAGATGGTCAATTACCAGATCTTAGTTGGTTGTAATTAGTTAGATCTAGTCACATTTACCTACCATAGTTAGGTAGGTAAATCATCCTCTGTTTTTGGGAGCTTCAGACACACCTGAAGTTGTACAACTAGGAATTCAGTTCATCGACATGGAGAATTATACACTTCATAGCAGAGCTATGAAACTCTCTTTTGATGAACAACAAGGTTGGATTTATAGATGGATCAATCACTTGCAACAAATTTGAAGTTGATTTGGTGAATCAGCGAGAAAGATGCAATGCGATGATGATATCTTGGATCAAAACTAATGTGAGAAAAGGACTTCTCAGTGGAATTTTATTTCGATCTAGTGCTAGTTTTATATGAGAGGAACTCCTTGAGAGATTTGACAAAAAATAATATAACACACATTTATCATTTCCACAAAGAAAGAGCTACATTAGTGCAAGGAACTGCACCTGTATTTGTTTACTATTCATTAAATGAGTATGACTAAATAGTGCCCCCATCTTCCTGTGAATGTGAGAAATCAAAGGAATATAGTGAGCATCTTCAGAAGCAGAGATTATTGCAGTTCCTTATGGGCGTAAATGATGGATATGTTAATGCTTGTGGTCAGATTATGATGAAGATATCTGCTAATGTGAATCAAGCCTATGCATTGTGACATCAGTTTTTAGCCTCATGTCGCCTTTCAAAGAAATCCTAGGAAAGCGCTTGGCAGCAGTTGGAATCTGAGCCTAGGCTCGACATCAAACGAGGGAACACATTTCTATTGTTATCATTTGTGGCCATAGATGGTAGTCAGAATTCTCAAAGGGATTGTGTTGTGGCTCTTGAGGGGGCAGTCAAGGACTATGACACCTCATGAATACAGTGCCTGGTTTGAAAACCAACATAGAGTAAAGGTTAGACGATATAGACCACAAGATGTGGCAGGCAGAGGGAGACGTCATGAACACCAGTTGAGACTCTGAAGGAGATTGGCAAAAAGCAGCTCAAGAGGCATCTAAAAATATTGGTAAATTCGAGGTGCTCCAGCAGGAGCGGACTGGACTGAGGAACTAGCCCACAGAAACAAGAGGTAGACAAAGTGACTGCCATGCAGAAAACCATAAATAACTTGACTGATCAGCTTAATGTTATAAGTGTTTAACTTCAAGGACTACTCCAAAGAGGTGGCAATCATATCAGGGGTGTTGTGGATATTGCCTACGTGAGACAAGAACTCAAGATCCCAGAACCAAAGCGCTACCACAGAGCTCAGAATGTCAAAGATGTGGAGAACTTCATTTTTGACATTGAACAGTAATTGGATGTCGTGGGTATGTCGGAGGTAGAAAAAAAGGTATCAACTGTTTCCATGTATCTTCACGGTGATGTCATGTATCTTGAGACATAGGAGGATCTGAAGGCTACTATCTCCTTATAGTTCTTCCCCGAAAATGTGGAGTACAACATGTGCAGGAAGCTCTAGGAGTTGCGCCAAACTAAGTCATTTCAACATTATGTAGTGCTGATGATGAACATCCGAGACATGGGTAAGCAAGACAAGCTCTTTACATTCATGAAAGGGTTGAATCCTTGCGGCCGCATGGAACTGCAAAGACTAAGGGTTGATATGTTTTTCAAGGCCATCTAATCTTTTGAATATGTTATGGATTAGAACGTGGAAGTCCAGAAGGACATGCCTCAAACAAAAAATACGGGAGGATACAAGGGGACTCAACCTATAAATAGTGGTCCTAATGGAAGTGGGGGTTGTCCAAATAAAAGTGCGGGAGATCGAACAACAAGCAAATCCAGGGATTTCTCCTCAAGCCTAGTACTACTGCCTCGCATAATAATGACTGCGGAAAGAGGTCCGGGCCACCTATGGGATGTCACAATTGTGGAGGGCTGCATTTCAGAAGGAATACCTACAGTAACAGATGAATGATGAACAATGTTTCAATGATGGAATGGATGCGAAGAGGATGATATCTACCAAATGTAACCCATAGGTTTGCCCCAATACAACGCGGTTTGTGACTGGTTATCTAGTTAAGTTGGGTGGTTCCCTCATTTCTTGGAGGTCAAGAAATAAATCACCATAAACAGGAGCTCTACAGAGGCTGAGTAAAGAAGTTAAGCATCAACAGTAGCTGAAATTGTTAATCTGGTTGGCCTATTTTCAGTGTTGGGTATGCTTATTCAGTTTCCCATTGCAGTTCACTGTGATTGCAAGGTCTAGGTCTACTATGTGGATATATACCAACACTGTGTTCCATGAACATACAAAACAACATTGACATTAATTTTCATTTTATCCGGGAGAAGATTCAGCAGGGCTAGGTCAACACTTTTTACTTAGCCTCTTTTGATCAGTTGGCTGACATATGGACCAAGGGGCTAAACTGTTTGAAGCATTCACATCTTTTGTCTAGACTAGGCATGAAAAAACATTTTCACTTTGCCTAGTTTGAAAGAGGTGTAAAGGATAACCCAGTTCACTGAACAAAATACATTATAACCCTTAAGCTAGCTAAGTACATAGTTAGTTAGTTAGTTAGTAGTATCATGTAAGATGGCCAAATAGTTGATCTTAGTCAATTGTAATTAGATAAATCTAGTTACATTTACCCTACCATAGTTAGGGAGTTAACTAGGCCTATAAATATTCTAGTACAACTAACAGATTGATTGATTCCCAATTCACTTTCTTTTCCAAATTGATTTGCCGCCATTGCTAGATTCTTTTCTTCTCAAGGAAAATTCCTTGAATGGAACTTAATACTTTCCAAATGTTACTCAAAAACGTGTAGAAATCTATAAGTGAAGTTTCTCAGATTCGTCAGATAGATATTCATCGTATGAAACCAAGACTTCATCAAACACTTTCAATTAAAGCAGAAGATTGATAGTAGATCATGTTTGATATCACGAACCCACAAATTAAAATAGAAAAAAACACCTTTCATAAGATTAACATTAAGGATTAAAAAAAATGATTGACCAGAAAACAACCTCACTCCCACCCTACAACAAACAGAGAAAGAGAGCATTGTACCTGAAAGTTGTTGAGGATGGTACAAGAGGAAGTCGACATCCTGAACATTATGATTGAGAAAGTGATGGTCTATCATTTTCTTATCAAGACAGTGAGTTATAAGCTCTTCATTTGCATAAGAGAGCTGATCACCCACCATCACTTCCTGTTTATGGATGACTTCAATGCCCATACAATTCTCGCCACATTTATCATATTGGCAGTGCTATCCCGTTTCCCATTTTCTTCCATTTTTGCACCCTAATCACATAAATAAGATCAATATCAAGATGAATGGCTTCGCAATATTTGTTATTCAATAAAAAAAAGCTTCAAATGTCATTTCATGTAATGAAAGCATACAAAATTGGTAGTGAAGGGAAGATAAATGTTGTTACTAGAGAAGGAGTTGTAAGCTCCTAATACATGAAATGACATTTGAAGCCTTTTTTTTATTGAATATCAAAAATTGAGAAGCCATTCATCTTGATATTGATTTTATAGGGCGCAAAAATGGAAGAAAATGGGAAACAGGATAGCACTGCCAATATGATGAATGTGGATGAGAATTGTATGGACATTGATGTCATCCATAAACAGGAAGTGATGGTTGGTGATCATCTCTCTTATGCAAATGAAGAGCTTATAACTCATTGTCTTGATAAGAAAATGATAGACCAGTACTTTCTCAATCACAATGTTCATGATGTCGACTTCTTCTTGTACCATCCTCAACAACTTTCAGGTACAATGCTCTCTCTCTCTCTCTCTTTGTTGTGCGGTGGGAATAAGGCTGTTTTCTGGTCAATCCTTTTTTTAATCCTTAATGTTAATCATATGAAAGGTGTTTTTTATAATTTAATTTGTGGGTTCATGATTTCAAACATGATCTACTATTAAGCTTCTACTTTAATTAAAAGTGTTTGATGAATAGCTATCTGACGAATCTGAGCAACTTCAGTTATAGATTTCTACACTTTTTTGAGTAACATTTGGAAAGTATTAAGTTCAATTCAAGGAACTTTCCTTGAGAAGAAAAGAATCTAGCAATGGCGGCAAATCAATTTGGAAAAGAAAGTGAATTGGGAATCAATCAATCTTTTAGTTGTACTAGAGTATTTATAGGCCTAGTTTACTACCTAAATATGGTAGCGTAAATGTAACTAGATCTAACCAATTAAAACTGACTAAGATCAACTAATTGACCATCTAACATGCTACTACTAACTAACTAACTATGTACTTAGCTAGCTTAACGGTTATAATGTATTCAGTTCAGTGAACTAGGTGATCCTTTACACCTCTTTCAAACTAGGCACAGTGAAAATATTTTTTCATGCCTAGCCTGGATTAAAAATGTGAATGCTACAAACAACTAAGTTAAGTGCTGGTGTATCTAACACAGACCTATTCGAGTCCTTGACTGAACAAGAGTTTACCTTCTTTGATAAGCCTGATGTTGAATATTCTCAGGCCTATTAGAATAAGAAAAAGAGGCCAAGATATGGTTGAAATTAAGAACCATGACAATGTACATTATATTATTCTAGTGGTAATAGTTAGAATTACAGTATTTTAAAAATACAAACTTCTGGTGAAGGTACTAATTTAGGTTTCAGGGACAAATAATTGTGAAGACCTTTATACACAATTATTTCAGTTGTTTTTGAACTTACCATCTTTATTAGATAATCTATGTACTGGTTTTTATTTTTATCTATGTTGTTTTCTACTTCCTTTGTTCATATTAGTTGATCATCTTACTAAAAATAGTTGTCCCATATTAGTTGTTCACTTCACTAAATCAATAAAACAATAATTAAAATTTTCTTATATTATCCTTGCAATTAATTCATTTTGAAAGTGTTCACATATGTTTGTAAAAAATTGAAAAAGTTTTTTAAGGGTGAATATATAAAATTATCTTCTTATTTTTTATTTCTAATATGCTTGTAAAAAGGAAAATCAACAACTAATATGGGACAGAGGGATTATTAAGATTGGTTTTCATCATGTTATTAGAAAGTTTTTAGCTTTAGGGATCTCATCCTTTTCAAATGAACGTAAAGAGGGATTCCCTTTCTCTTGTTTCCAATTTAGTTAGATTAATTTTATATAAAAATAAAAACATTTGACGTTAATCAGATTAATGAATAGTTCTTTTGTATGACATTGTTTTATAAGTTTGCCTTTCAATATAGTCGTTTATTAGGTAAATTTTATGAGAACACTGGAGGTTGGTTCATCTATGATGACAGAGGGGTTAGCCACTATAACTCCACTACAATGGTAAACCTTTTGCATCAATCCAAATGTGACCAAAACAAAAAGCGTAGTAAGAGGAGGGTCCTTCTCTTCTTAATTCTGACGAAACTCTATTCCTTGAACAATGAGGCTACGTTTCCAACCGAGATGCCTAATCTCCATGAGTCCCGCTTCATTATATCCATCTTGTCCTATATCATTGAAAAAGTTTCCCATTTTTAATTCAGTCCACCCATCACCTCTTTTCAAGGTTAGCGTCACTCTAGGTTCTCGTCCTAAAAAACACAAATAACTTTAGCTCGTTGCTCTAGTTATTGGTCACTCTCGGAATAAACAAATCTAACAACTGACTTAGAATTTCTTAGCCCACAAAATCCATCTTCTAATTTGAACACTAGATAAGAAAAACAATAGGTTCTTTTCAACAACATTCAAGTTTCAATGTTGCCTCAGTTATCAAGCCAACAAATCAAATTAAGTTTAGCCACTTAAGAGAATGTACAAGAAAATTTATACTTTCTTAGTAATTGTATTTAATAAAGTAATTTCTTTTAAAATTTAGAGTGCATAAAAAGGAACCACAAAAATATAATTAGTGAGAAAGTCTAAATTATTTTTATAGATTTTCTGAAGTGGCTAAACTTAATTGGATATGTTGGCTAGATAACAGATGAAAAGTTGACACTCAAATGTCGTTGAAAAGAACTGGTTATTTACTTGTCTAGTGTTCAAATTGGAATATGGATTTTATGGCCTTAGAAATTCAAAGGCAGTTGTTATATTTTTTTGATTCCAAAATTGACTATGAAACAGAGCAACGTGCTAAAGTTGTCCAATTTTCAGGACGAGGACCAAGAGCCACGCTAACTTTGAAAAGTGGTGATGGATGGATTGCTATTCTGAAGTTATCCTAATGTTTTGATCATATAACAAACTACGAGACCTAGTATAGCACTATGTCCCATGAGAAAACTGAGAAGGTTCAGACAATGCAAAAAGAACAACTGTAAAAGCTGCAACCACTGCCACAACATCAGTGCTTATTGGTGCGCGATTACAAAGGATCAGTACTCTTGGCCAATAGCATTGCACTATGTTTTTTCCATCTTATAATAGTTACTTTGACCTGGGATACAACCTAGCTTTTTCATTGGATGAATTACATGGCAAAATCCATTCTCTCGAAGAAATATTTCTCATATGCAACAAGGGACCTGATCGAGTGATCTTTTGTATTTAGTTGTTATTTGAGAATAGGTAACATGGGCAAGAATACAACCAGGAAATTCTATATAAGAAAGAAATGGAGTTTAGTCAATTCATTAGTGTTCTTTAAAAGGAAATTATTCCCTCTATTTTATTGTACGTGATGCTATATATTTCCTCATCAGTTCGTCAAAAATTAGTTGACACATTTCTATTTTTGGAGATAATTTAACTTCAAATTTCGTATTTTATCATCAATGGAATGCTTTAATAGCTGTGAAAATCTCTTGACATGTTTATATCCCATGAGTTCCAAATGTTTTTCTTTCTTGAATATTGTGTTTAGTCAAACTAAGATAAGTAAATTGAAACGAAAGGAGTAATATCTTATATGGAATACGAAAACTTACCTTCTTCACCATCAACACCGAAGTAGGTTAGAGTTATGTCAATCTTGCACATACTTTGTCACCTTCCAGAAAAAATTGTTAAATCCTTTACAGCTACCTTTATTTAATTTACGAAGTTTTAATAACATTAGAAACAGAAAGGAAATTTGGGTAATAGAGGTAAATTTGGAATAGAAGCAGAGGTAAAACGAAATGTAGTTAGTACCATGTATTATGTTTTTGCTTTCATTAGGAAGAAGCTTATAAATCGTTCCATTCATAGTAAATTGAGCACCACCAATCCGGTTAGCGACTCTTCCAAGGGTTGCTCCAAAGTAACTTGTAACATTCTGCACAAAGTTACTTTCATTGGTGAAAACAAACAGGGCTATATTTTCTTCAATGTACTTCACATCAATAAGAAATATGGGATTGTTTTATTTGATATTATAGACTAGGAATGTGGTGTTTCTTAGGAAAGAACTACAATTAAATAGTGTCAGATGACTCTAAATTTTGACATGGCACAATCAAAGTAGGAGTGGCTACATGACTTGATGACTTGAAAAAAATAAATCCATATAAACTTTATTCATAAAATTCAGACATCTATGAGACAAAATATTTACTTTCTAACCTGCATATTACTCAAATGGGACAAAGAAAACCTTATATAAAATTTGCGGGGAAAGCAACAAATATGCGCAAAAGAGGACAAGTCAAAATTCAAATTAGTGGTAAATGTACTAATTGATGATAATAAAATTACTGTAATTTAGCCGCTCATGTGAAGAACCTAAATAAAAATCCCTAAAGTTAAAAATAAACATATAAATTATAATTGGATGTTTTTTATTAATGATAGCGAGAAAAAGACCAAAATTGTCCCTTATCTTTGAGATAAGAATCAAAATAATCCTTGTCTTTTAACATGGAGCACTAATAGTCCTCCATGTTTCAAGAATTGGTACATTTTTAGTACCCTTCCAAATAATCGTTTAATATTTAAACGGAAGTTTCTTTTGCTCGTGAGAAAGGCTGTCTCTGTTTCCACCATTGCTAACAAAATCTTCCCCTTCTTCTCCTCAAATAGTACCCATCCATTCCTATGTTCATGACTTTGATTTTTCTATCAGACAAACGAAATCAAAATAAAGAGAGTTGCATCTTGTTGTTTTTGAAGAATATTTTCTTTGTATTTTTTATTTTTGTTTATCTCCCTTCAATGGAAGTCTCCGACAAGTAAAATTCTTTGTTTGTATGAATGTAAAATACTTTTTATCATCATTGAGTCTTCTTCAATGCCCTATGTGATAGATTGTTTAAATTCGAGAAAAGAATATAAAAATCTGAGATTATGGTGATCATTGGCTGTCCTCTGATTATTGATAACATACTGATAACTAGAATACCCAATTAAATTTAATTGGGAGGATACTACACATGTTGGTGTTGTGGTGTTGGTGTTCATCTGCAAACAAGTTTGTTGCACAAAAGCTGCTGAGCAATTGTTCCAGTGGGCAGTGATTATTTGGCCTCATAGTCCATTCTTAGGAATAGATGAATATTGTTTGAGGGAGAAGAAGGAAAAGAATTGGTAAGCAATGGTCGTCTTTCTCACGTGCAAAAAAAAACACGTTGGAATGTTTGACGGTTATTTGGAAGGGTACTAAAAATGTACCAATTCTTGAAACATGGAGGACTATTAGTGCTCCATGTTAAAAGACAAGGATTAATTTGATTCTTATCTCAAAGATAAGGGACAATTTTGATCCTTTACTCAATGATAGCTATAGATATGGCCTATTAATTTCCAGTGCCTAAAGTAAAAACTTTTATAAATTGCATTATGAAACTTTAGTAGCTCAATTGGTTGGTTGCTTTCACTTTCACTTTGATGGTGAGGTTCAACTCCCCACCTTATAATCCCTTCCCCAATTTCCCAATGCCATTGACTTATGAGACTAAAAAGCAGAATTTGATCAAATAGAAGAAAAATCTTAGAAAACAGAAAATCAAAATAGGCACATTAGAAAAAAAAACAACTTAGTGGAATCTCACAAGTGGTGTCTGAGGAAGGTAGAGTGTACGGAGACCTTACCATTACCTCGTGGAGTAGAGAGAGATGAACAACAAAAGCCACATGCAGTCTAGCAAAAAAGGAAATCCCTTAGAAATTGTATCACCACTCAATATCTTTGGGGAAAATACAATAATTAGAATCACATAAATATGATCCCTAATAGGGTATCCAAGTAAACTAATGTCAATATCTTACCTTAAGGAAAATTAATACACAGTGTTAAGTGAACTCAATATTTCAAAAACTTTGTAAATGGGAAAGGGTTCTTGAATTCTAATCAAACACTTTTCACATACTCTCTTACAAGTGAATATGTTAGAAGTTCAATACTAATCAAGATTTTTTTAAGGCTTTTGTTGAAGGGATGATAAAGATGGGTGATACGCAGTCTGGACCACCTTGTGAGAATAGAGGCGATTGCAAGATGACTAATATGCACCAATAGAGTGTTGAAGTCTTGTTTGAGACTTCAAATAGAAAAGAGTTAAAGTCTCTTTGTTTTTTTATTGCAAAAATGTAACACAAAAAAAAACTATATCAATTCTCACTTAATAATACCCTTATAATAAAACAACAAAGAGACATTTAGTCTTTTCAGTTTAAAGTCTCAAACAAGGATTCAACACGTGGTCGGTGTCAATTAGCCACCTTGCAATCGCGTCTAATCTCACCAGGTTACCTAGAATGCAAATCACCCATATTTATCTTCCTTAAAAAAATCCTTGAATTTTTTTTCTTGATTTACATTTAGCTCTCCAACATATTCACTTGTAAGAGAGTTAGTGAAATGTGTTTGATCAGAATTCAAGAATCCTTTCTCATTCATCAAGTCTTTGAATATTAATTGTCAAATATTGAGTTATCAATAGAAAGACAATGAAACTTCAAACATTTCCTCCTATGTTAGTTTTATCTATTTTTAGTGTATGAAACTTTTTTCATCTGTAAATTTTCCAAATTTATCTAGCAATGGCTTAAATGGGTAACAAATTAAAAATTTGTGGAAATTGGATGTCGGATCAACAATTAAGAAGGAATGAATAGAAAGTAATGAAATTGAGGAAGTAACTAGACTGATAAAAGATTCACTCTTGACACAGAACACATGTCATGCATTTATTGGTTTGGTAATTTCCTATTCAAGAAACTTTATTGAGACCCATGAAGGGGAACTTTCACACTTTCCCAAAGGTATGCACATGTTTTGGCCAAGAAATGTATTAATGTTGTAGTATTTAGTAACTATGAGTTAAGTCACAATTATGCTCCAATTCTACTAAACAAGGATTATAACCTAAGCCCTCAATTTCAAAAGATCTATAGCCGAAGCTAATTGTAAATCTTGAACCATAGATTACAATTGTCAACATCACTTCCGGACCTAAACTTAATTTTAAGCAACAAACAGATCTATAAAACTTGTTATATAAGAAATGTAAGTAATCTCATGAATATTACCAACTTAGAATACCAAGAATTAATTAGAAGAATACTTGATTTCGCTATAGCTCCGATCTCTTGCAAGAATGAACATGCTAAAGCTTCCTTCCCTTCTATGTTAGGAAACAATTTCAGTGGCTGCACTTACGAAGATGAGGAGTGAAGATGTGACCAAACCACATATTTTCAGGTTTAAAACCCTTGACCTAGTGGGCTTCCATCACAAGCTTATATTCATATGTTAACACATAACTTTTAGTATCGTGAAGCCCACATCACCATAAAATGATTTAGGCCCAACAAGAAATCCAACAAATTAGCTGAGAAAATAGGATTAATTACAGAAATCCCACCTTTTAGTTTATTTATTATCATTATCCCCTATAAGTTTTACAAATCTCCAAAATCCTTCATTTTCACGCATCAGATTAATGTATCAGCACATAGATTAGTGTATCTCGCGCATCAGATTAATGTATCAGGGCTTATATTATTGTATCCGTTTGAGGGATTTCTGTAATTATAAACTTTTAAGAGATAGATTGTAATTTTACCTTAAAAGTATGTGATTTCTGTAATTTGCCCAAAATAATATCCACCAAATATATTTATTTAGCCCATTTAATTGAGTTGAATTAAATAATTGGGTTAATGTTAAACCCCCATACAAAATAACTTTCAACATTCTTCCATTCGGAAAACATTGTTATATTTTCAACATTTTAATTCACATTTTTTTTAATATGGCTCTTAGGCAAAACGACAGGTTTTTAACTGTGGCATCAAATTTGAGAAACCACAGTAGTGGAACATCACTTTGAACATGATCAAGTCAAACAGAATCATTAATGTTGAATCATCATAGTAGTACTTGCATTAATTAATGACATGACCAATCCATGGCAACAAATAGGGAAAAGGCATAAATTGCCCCCTAAACTTGTCACGAAAAGTCAGTTACACGCTTAAACTATTGTGACGACCTATTACACACCTTTACTATTTAAAAATGAATTTAATACAACCATGAGACGTGTAACACCACTCTCACAGCATGTAGTATATTACACTCGCTGCCATGTCATCGCCACGTCAAATTTTATAATATCTTATATTCTTTTAGTTTTCTTTTCTTTATTAGTTAACTTTCTTTTTGTTAACTCTATTTTACACTAATTAATCTCTATTTAATTATTAAAATTCTCTAATAGTTATATATTTTTTATCACTAAATCCCACCCACTTTATCTCTAATCTCATCGGAGAAATAATTCATTTGAATTTATACAAGAATTTTCTTTGTCTTCTCCGGCGAAGAACAACCAACCCATCACCACCATAAGTCCACCTCCACAACGCCATTTGTTCTTCTTTTTCGACTAACCATCAGCCACCAAACAACCACCACAAAACAGCCACTCAAAATCCAAATCAATCACCAACAAACACCAAATCAGACCCCCCTTACCTTATCCCTTTGCGATTTTATTCTTTTGATTTGTTTTACAGGTGTGTCGGCAAGCTCAAAGCTTCAGCCATAGCTCCAATGAAGTTCCAAAGAGCTCCACACTTTCAAATCTGTATAACCAACAAATAATTTGAACAACCGACAAATAATCACAACCAACAACACCACTACTACACTCACGTCATTGTGAATCTTTGAGGTTGTGATGAAAAATAAAAAGTTGTGATGAAAATTAAAGAATGAAGAAGAAGAGGGTAATGAGTGGGGATGGAAGATTTTAATTTTTTAATTCTTTTTATAAAGGCTAATGGGAGGGGAAAGAAGATTTTGATTTTTTTAATTCTTTTTTTAAATAATTTTTTTTTGACGCGCCAATTTTTAATTTGAGTTCTAATGGTGCCTCGGTTATCAAGCCAACAAATCCAATTAAGTTTAGCCACTTCAGAGAATCTATATAGAAAAATGTACACTTTCTCAATAACTGTATTTAATAAAGCAATTTCTTTCAAAATTTAGAGTGCATAGAAAGGAATTGCAAATTTATAAAACACGGAGTCTGGGTAAGACAACCATTTCCCAATACTCTGGTATATCACCCAATATAATACCAAGTTCTTGTGCTGCGACCACAAAACATTTCTTCCCCATTTTCTTATCTAGTGAAAACTCCATTTTACTAGCTATATCAAAAGACATATACAAAACATTCGGATCTAAAAACAAACAAAAAGAGTTGTAAAAAGGCACTGGACCACTCTTTTGGAGTCTGATTGGGATCACAAAGGAACAACCACGCTCACTTGACATGACTAGGTACCTGAAAAGTGGCCTCGATCCACACCACCTAACAACCTTTATGAATAGGACATGACATTCATTGGCATGTTCATATCAGGTTAGGTTTGGCTTGTGATGTGCAGACCCTTCCCACTAATAACTCACACAGTTATGTTAAGTGAGTGTATTTGGCCCGTTGTGATCTCAATTGGACACAATAAGAGTGGTCTAGTTCCATTTTTGGCCCTTTTGGTTTGTTTTTAGATCCTAATTAATGTTTTGTCTGTGTGATTTGATTTTTCAAATAGAGTTGTTCACTGGATAAGAAGACAGGGAAGAAATGTTTTATGGTCGCAACATGAGATCATGGTATTATATGGGGTGGTACACCCAAGTATTGTTAATGGTTGTCTCACCCGGATTTCACATTTTATATTTTTTTTGTTTCCTTTCCATGTACTCAAAATTTTGAAAGAAATCACTTTAATAAATATAATTACTGAGAAAGTCTATTTTTTTTTATTAATTCACTGAAGTGGCTATACTTAATTGGATTTGTTGGCTTGATAACCAAGGCAAAGTTGACATTCAAATGTTGTTGAAAAGAACCAGTTATTTTGCTTATCTAGTGTTCAAATTGGAAGATGGATTTTATGGACTTAGAAATGCTAAGGAAGTTGTTATATTTGTTGATTCCAAAAGTGACTTTGAAACAGAGCAACGAGCTAAAATTATCCATATTTCAGGATGAGGACCTAGAGCCATGCTAGCCTTGAAAAGAGGCGATAAGTGGATTGGTAATATGAAGTTATCCTGAAGTTTTGATGATTAACAAACTAGGTGACATATTATATGATCATGTCTCATGAGAAGACTGATAAGGTTTAGGCAATACGAAAAGGACAGTTTGAAAAGCTGCAACCACTGCCACAACTGCAGTGGTTGGTGCGCGACTATAGGGGATCAGTACTCTCGGCCAATGGTGTTTCACTAGGTTTTTGTCCATCTTATAATAAGTACTTTGACATAGGATACAACCTAGTTTTTGCATTGGAAGAATTACACAACAAAATGTATTATCTCGAAGAAATATTTCTCATATACATGAAGGGACATGATCGAGGATCTTATGTATTCAGTTGTTATTTGAGAATAGGTAACATGGCCAAGAACATCACCAGAAAATCCTATATAAAAAAGAAATGGAGTTAAATCAATTCATTAGTGTTCTTCAAAAAGAAATTACTCCCTCTATTCTATTTTACGTTTGTATTTTTTTATGAGTCCAAGATTTGGACTCATTTAGGGCTTTGTTTTGATAGTATAAGTGTCCTCAAATGCCTATGTTATGCTCTAAATTGATGTTAAAGTGTTGATTTGCAGCTATGAAGGTGAAGGAGCAAATCAAGGACATGACCGGACAAAAAGGAACTAAAGTGCAGAAGAACTGAAGAAAAAGCAATCCTGGCGATCGCCAAGACCACTCGGCGCACCGCCGAGTGGCTCTTTAGCTCGCCCAAAGTTCCAGCATGCCATCCCTAGGGAAGAACCAAGTTGGCGACAGAAATGGGCAGTCGGCGGATCGTCGATCGGTTCCGTGACAATAAATTGGATCGCCCAAAGTTACAGGACCTCAGATGTTGAAGGCCAATGCAAAGTGGCGATGGAAAAGGACAATCGGTGGATCGCTGATCCACTCGGCGAGGAGCGACTTAATTCGCCAAGTGGACTTTCAGGCTAATTTTTGGGAAACAATAAATTGGATTTTAAATGGAATTTTGAGGAGTTCTCTCCCAGATATTATAGTTCCCAATTTTCAGTTCTTATTGTAGACTTTCAGGATTTTGACTTGGGTTTTTGAACTTAACTATTTTGGAGCATTGTAAAGGGTTGGAGACTATTACCCAGCTGATGGCTAATCAAGTTGGTAATTGTGTTTACCTTTTTATGATGTTTAGCTAAAACCTCAATTCTTGGGGTGTGATCATGTGATTATGGACTGAATTAGGTTATGGGTATTGCTATTTACTAATTTTAATGCTTATTTGAAGTGGGTTTAATTGATAGCTATGTTTTAATCTTAGAATTGTAGTTTCAAATGCAAGTCGAACTTAGAATTCTGGCTTTCTTGAAAAAGAGGTTTTAGAATCAAAGCTTTTAATTGATGATTGTTGTTATCGGGTTGATATAGGTTTAGCTCTAAAGAGTAAATCCTAATTTCGATTCTACCTATCTAGCGAGAGAGAGTAGATGAATTAAGGTGTGGGTTGTTCTTATATGCTAAGCTTGTTGATGTTCGAAAGAAATCACTTGAATCGAAGTAGTTGTTCGAGAGAAAGCTATTTCACTCATAGCCTAGCCTACCCACTGAAATTTGGCTATTTACTAGTAATATAATTACCCATATAGTGAAATTTGCCTATGATCGATCACATCCCAAGAATTCCTCCTTATATTGTTATTTTCTCTTATTTTGTTTGTGCTGTAGCTGTTAATTGCAAACCAAAACCCCCATTTGACATTCGTTGTCACCCCCTTAGACTTGTTTACATGTATTTTTTGATAATTTATATTCCTATAACTAGTTAGACCACATTTGTACTTCATAACTGAATTTGAACAGGTACCGCTCCCTGTGGGTTCGACCGCAACTCTTCGTTGGGTTTTATACTGATTAACGATCGTTTACACCTAAAATTGGATGAGTTGTGCTTGAAACGTTCAATCATTTTTGGAGATAATTTAACTTTAAATTTCTTATTTTATCTTCAATGGAATGATTTTATAGCTATGAAAATCTCTTGACATGTTTAAATCCCATGAGTTCCAAATGTCTTCTTTCTTGATTATTGTGTTAGTCAAACTAACACAAGTCAGGAGTAATGTCCTATATGGAATACAAAAACTTACCTTCTTCACCATGAGCATTGAAGTAGGTTGGACTTATGTA